AATTTTTATGAAGACTCTCCTTTGTAATCATACACACAATAACTGCTTTTGACGTCCCCATCACCCAAGACAGCATGTGTTCTTCACTTCAGTACCACACCCAAATCAACTTCTACACAGGTGTTTAGAAGGTAATGCCTTTTATCTATATCATTCACACATTTCATTCTCACTCTGTTTCACACAAAATTATCTTTAGTTCTCCTCTGCTCTCTATGGGTTGGATCTAGCCAGCTTTTTCATTCGGTTACACCACATCCCCCTCCTTACCACACATATGGAATTTGTCCATACAGGTCCCATAATCCCCAGCAAATAGGGTTCCCAAGTACTTACCGCGATCCGACGGGGGAAACATGCTCCCCGGCCGGACCATTCCTCCCTGTAACACAGCATGCCGTCGCCAGGAAGTGACACTGGGTGACGCTCTGGCAATGGGGCTGAAAACTTGATGGTACCATAGAGTTTCGAGCCCCATTGCCAGAGTGTCACCCAGCGTCACTTCCTGGCGATGGCATGGTGTGGCGCGTCTGTTGTCCCCGCAGAAATGATCCTGCGAAGACGTCTGTGTCCCCTGCCGAATCACGGTAAGTACTTGGGAAGCCTGCCAGCAAACCATTTTAAGTGGTTAAAGGGGACCCACCCCCTTTTCACCACCAGCAAAATACTTGGTAGTTATCCATTCTGGGAATCTACTTGAATTCTTACTTGTAGCTCTCTCTGGGTCAGTGTACACATAACATTCCCCCCCCCATACAAATAAGAGCAGTTCTACAACTGTAAGATTTAGGTTATATCTGATCATCATCATCAGGCTAAGTTTCTTCACCCTCTCATCTATGTCAAAGAAGCAGAGAGAATCATATGATTATGATCCAAGTAGCAGCAACTTGCAAATACCACAATCAGAGCAGAACCTGAACACACATGAAACTACCTTACAGTGAACCAGACCATTGGTCTAAAGGTCAGTATCATCTACTCTGACTAGCAGCAGCTTTCCAGGGTCTCAGGCTGAGGTCTGTCACATCACCTACTACCTAATGCATTTTAACTGGTGATACCAGAGATCAAACCTAAGATCATACACACATGAACCAGATGCCCTACCACTATGGTCCCCCCTCCTTCCCAAGATGCACAGTATTTGTATCATATATGGAAGTTATTTAGAATACCTTTTATCTCATGCTTCCATGACAATGTGTAGCGAAGTCAAATTTACCCTGGATCTCATGCATAATTGTCATCTTTTCTTGCAAGAATTTTAAAAAACAAACACTTTGTTCTTTTAAGAAATGGTCAGTGTGGTGCATAACATCCCTGAAGGAATATTATCATTTGTGGTTTCCTTCTTGTTAGCAACAAGCACTGGGATACCTATTTACCCCAGAAAGTATAGGATTGAGGTTACCTGTTGGGGTAACTTAACATTCCATGTTCAGCATTGGGGTAGTTACGGTTCATTATTTTAGTCCAGCTAACTTACATTTCTCCTCACTTCAGCTATGTTTCTGTTGGTCATTCCTTAGGCTTCATTTCTCTCTCTGAAAAAGTACCCTAAATATTTCCTCGCTGTCCTTCTTCCAAACTCAATGTTAACACACAGCCCACAGAAAAGTAACAGCTGTAGATGATACTTTTCATAGTAAACAGGTACCACTTTTAAGCAAAACCTTATGAGAAGTTCTCCCTTATGACTGCTGAACTAATACTGCACTATAGGTTGAGTAGATACCTTGGACCATTTGGTGCACTGGCACACCATGCAATAAATGTGCTAGATACTGGTAATGCTACTGTTTTCATGGTGTGGCTGCCACATAATGTAAATTGGAATGAGAAACAGGTGTGATTTAAAATGAAAAGGCATATGTTTTTGAGCAGTCTTGGTCAAGAGTCAATATATGGATAAATAAGGATACTGCAGGACAGTGCCTGTGTTTCAAACTCTATCAGATCAGTCATATCCCCCCCAGCTACAAGTTGCCATATCTCCTTATACAATCCTTAGCATAAAATGGGCATAGAATAATTTGTCCACATTCAAGACTGCTAATGCCAGGGCAGCACAAGAGCTGTAACTGACAACTTGCCAAGAGCACTCCATCTGCTGGGAGCTGAAAATAAAAACAGGCCTGAAAATCTGTTGCAGTGTCCTGAAGGGTTTTGGTATGTTTATGCAAAGGGGATTGGGCTATACAGCTCCTTTCAGCTCTGTTCAGAAACACACCAGTCAGAAACCTTCATAAATCACTAGCTGCTTGTTCTGTTTTCAACAGGACTGATGCTTTCATCAGAGAAACATAATTGCATATGCACAGAAGTGCTTGCACATGTTTGCAGAACAGGTGCTGATGTACAGTGTGCATTTAATACATATTGACCATCAAGTAGTTAAATTTTATTGGTATGTGTTTATAAGCACAAAATTGATCTAGGGTTAGTAGTACTGCTAAATAATTCTAAACTCTGGATTTATGGCCCCTCCAATGGTAAAGAATACCTCAAATGATACATCTAATCTAAAGCAAATCCCGTCTACCACCCCATTAAGAACTGAGGCACACAGTGTGAGATTAACATTTTCAGGACATCTCACTGTGTGTTTTGTTAACAATTGGCCAATATACAACCACTTCAGCATATGGCTGAATTGGGGTTTCCTCATATCTACTTACCACACATCTGATGTCTAAAATCCATTGAAATGAAACCATTGCATTTATATCTTATGCCATGTTTAGAATAGTCGCTTAGTATGATGAAAGCTGATTAAAACACATTCACAGATGCCCTTTCACACATCTCAAAATGCTTCCTTTCTTTTCAGCCTGCCCCACCCCACCTCCCAGTTTTACCTTTTTTAAAAAGGTTTTTCTGTAATAAGCCATCTGCTGAATTGAGGCTCTGTTTATGAATAAACTAGGATTTCACTTCCTATTGACATTCTGGATTTCTCAGAATGCAGATTTAAGGCATTTTAAAAGGCTTGATTATTTTTTTTTTGACTGTCCCAAAATCAACAAACAACAGGTGCTACTATAATAATATTAAATATTTCAGGTCAATTTTAACTTGCAGATACCCAACCCATTTTTTAAGACTGTATGTAAAGAAGCAAAACTCTTTATTGTAACTCATGAAAAAGGTTAGAACTGCAGGCAGGACATAAATACATCTCAGTAAACTGTCTGAGTTGTTTATGCCCAAAAGAGACACAGTGTTTTAAATCATTCATTGATTTAGTGTCATATTTGCAAGAAAATTAAAAGATCTAATTTCTCACACTTTATGGTGCTGTTCAAAGCTATAAATCACCTCACAGAAAATCTCTATTAGTTAGGGGTATGAAGCATCTCCAGCGACTGTGGAAAATAAAATTAGTCTTATTTGTAAGCCTTTCTATAGATGGTAGCACATAAAATACAAGAACTCCTGCATGACATTTTCCATTCATTAGGGGTGGGTGTTGCAAGCATAGGAATAAATGAAAAAAGAACAAGAAATTGTGCATAGCATTCTTTTAGAGGGACACTTTCGTTGAAAGGGCAGGATGCAGTTCTTTTGGGGTCTAGCAAAGCCCATATGTAACTGCTACTTGAATGAAAGATTTATTTTTGATTGAGCACTAGAAAATGTAAGAAGTTATTTAATTTCAGTTTTTTAGACTATCCATTCTCAAGTTGCCCAAACAACAGCTGTTGCCTGGACCTGGCAAACACAAAGATTAAGCAGGGGCTGTCCCTAAAGAATGTCACACTTCGCTGAAGTCATACTTTGCACACAAACACACCCAGGACACTTAAAGAAAATGGATGCAATAACAATTTACTGAAATTAGGACCCAGTGCAATTTGCCATTTACTGGTTTAAATGTAAGTTTCCTGTGGTATGTCATTGGGTTCAGGAGCCTTCTGAAATACTGGCACAAAATGCTAGGAACTACAAGAAAACATCACAAATTCAACTTAGTTTAATTTTGAATTTATTTTCAGAGCCAATTTGGTACAGCAGCCAGTGCTGATCAAGGAAAGGGGAGAACAGTGTTCAAATTCCCACCATGGGCCAGCCACTCAGTTACTGTGGGTATAAAGAGAAGGGAAGGAGGAACAATCTACACCATCCTAAACTTCCTGGAGGAAGGGCAGCTTAAAACCCTCCCAATACAACTAAAAAGTCCTGTCCTGAACTCTAGTATAGTATATTGCTGGATATTCAGCTCCCTCTGCAGGACAGAGGAAATATCTCTGATTTTATCATTGAAATTTCGGGCTGGAAGAAAGCTTGGGTAGGTTTCTTTTTTTAAAACTCAAACTGCAATTAATACTTAAGACTTCTTGCATTTAATGTACAGGGAAAGGTTTAGCAAACAGAAAACTTACATCGCTGGAGAATTTATATGAAATCATGAAAGGAAACCAGTGTGCCATATACATATACCATAACTAAACAAAAGGAGATGATATACTAAAACGGAAGAAGTTTTCCCTTGCGTACAAAATAGCAATTACAATATATATAGGCCACTGAAGTGTTCATGCCAGCTTACAATTTATATGGCTCCTTATGCAAGTGCTGGTACCTTTGCTCAGTTGTTTAAAAAGACTGTTTTATTTAAAAAGGTAAAGAGGTCTGTAGTAAGGAAGCAGAAAGAACCCAGTAATGATTGTGGGAATGTGTGTGTTTGAAGTAGCCCTCAAGCCCTTTGTTTAATTTTTGAGAACTGGTGGTCTGGTATAGATATTTGATTTTTACATACGCAAAAGCTGATACATTCAGGGTACCACTGCTCAGTCACTTTACTATACTGAGGAGTGTGACCTCTTTAGGCCAACCAGTTTGAGTGTATTTTATACCAGATAAAAGGCATTATGTTAATTAAGTCATTTTGACATGATCATTTAAAGCTAAACTAAAGTTTTCTGCTATTAAAAGTATCTTAAAATATTTACTTATATCAAATATGAGCATTCTTATTAACCTAATTATAAGCCAGGATTTTTAAAGATATACTGATATTAAACAATGCTCATTCGCAGGTTGGATAAACTTGCATAAAATATTTACTGAATTTCAATCTTTCTCCAAATGTTCTGCAGGCTCTCTCACACATAACACCAGAAGTATCACAATTTGTTTTCCAGATCTGTTGAAGAAGAGAGATGTAACATCCAAAGAGGATGCATGACTACCTCCACAGTAAAATCAGAGCACATCATGGAACTCAACTGAATATCCATACACCTTTGGGGAAGGAAAAAGCCATTTTTTATTATGTAATCTTTAGACAATTTTGCACTGTGTAGGAAATGACAGATGCTTAGATCAAGGCTACATCATAGCAGCTCATATAAACTGTCAAAAGTGCAAGGATATAGAAACAACACAGACTTACATTCTTTCAGTAGCAAGCCTTGTAGTATTTGCATAATGTAATTAAATGAAAAATGATGATCAGAGCACCTTGGCTAAAAGAGAAACAATCAGTGATACTCCTGGTCTCATAGCTGTTATTAAAATTTCCTTCTCCCTGCTTGAAAGCAATGAGGTATTTTTATAGGCCTGTATCAAATATGTCACAGTATAGTTCTGTTTTGGAAAGAAGTGGTCTGTTTTGCTTATCATGCTTCAGTTCTATGGTTAACACATGGAGACCAAGGAGAAGAATGTCTGTAAATAAAATCCCTAAACCAGTCTAGGTAGAATATTTGGGCACATGAAACTACGGTGGCGATTTTGTACATTCTTCAGCAGTTAGTTCACATTTTTTATATCAACAGACTGAAACAGCCTTGCTGCAAACTAAGCAGAATTATCGGCATATTGTTCCATTGAAAGCAATTGAACTTAATTACACGTATATACGCTTGGGATTAAGCTGTAAGACATCTTGGGTGAAATCTTAAATCTTTTCCTGCTTGTGTAAGACCCCTCCCCCCAGTGTTCCTGAGAATCCAATACACCAGGAGCAGCATTACAGAGAACACAGCAGGCTGCAGGTAAAGTTCCACCCTGCAGTAACATCCAATTCGCTTGGTCTTCCTGCAGCTTAGACAAAGCTGCAGAAACACTGATAATACAGGAAAACACAAAGTACCATCAACCTGCAGTATGACATTCTGCAAAACTCCTCTGTTTTAAAAGGAAAATCTAAGTAGTCCTGAGAGCAGTCCCAGTGCAGAACTATATAGTCATGTGATCCAGTACAAGCAGGGCTCTACAACTAGGTGCATTATGGATCTTGCATTATAATTCTTTATACAAAATAAACTACATACAGGTGTTCTATTTGTACATATATTGAATTGGCTTCATGGCTTTAAAAACATGACTGGGCAAAACCAGAGTATTACAAATACAGTACACATTATGCACTGCTGACTTCACGTAAATATTTATACAGCATTGGCTACAATGGTTCCAAACACGGTGACAGAGTTTGTAAAATTAATGAAATCCCTTATCTTAAAAAAGAGAACACCTTTGCTTAATCATCACAAATAGAGAAGAGTGTTTATTTTTTAAAAACCCTCTTAAAATTCATTTCAAGCATTCTTATTAAAAAGGAGATTCCTAGGAACACTTGAAGTGGGGTGTCACTGTGCAGTTAGTTTAGTTTTTGTAAACATGATACCAAAAAAAAGAGAGACTGAACAATGTTTGCTGCTCGCCTTTAGTAGCATATAACCAAATGCTGCTCTTAGAGCAAAGCTTGGCATCAAACACCAAGTTACACCATACTATGATGCCTAAGCAGAACACACTGATATAAAATATCCACTGCCAATTAACAAAAAAGCAAAATCTTTCTGCTAGTGCAACAATCCCCGCAGGAATATCTGGGGAAAAGGCACTCCATCATTCTCAAATGACACATTCCCTATTTGTTTACACATTAAACATGCTCCAATACCACTAACTACATATAAGAGCAACAGCTATAAACATACAGATTTGTGGCTAGGACAATACAGCTTATATTTTCTCACTGTCGTGAACTGTAGTACAGCAAAAGCTTTGCCTGCAAGTCTTCATATATTTCTGTTTGAAATCAAGATGGCCTAAACCAATATAAATAGGTTCATTGAGAATTTAAAGTCACCTTCCTGTTTAAATATGCACACATTTCATAGGATTGCTAGATAAAACCAAACATTGGCAGTTAACATCAAAAAGGGATATTGCATCAAAATGGAAGGTGTAAATTAAAAATGTGTTCCCACTGAAAAGTGAACAGGCAATTCAACCATAATTCAGAAAGAAGCCTGGACAGTCAGTACTTGAGATAATTTTTCATTTTTCTCAGCAATATAAAATTAGAAATGACAGAAAAAAATAAGCAAACTTACTTTTAAAGTTCTATATTCATGCACAACACTAATATAAAAATTAATCATTTCTTGCTTCATCTTTAAACTGTTATAACATACTATCACAAGCTGAAATCCCAACTACATGCACTTCTTTGTTCTGTTTGTTCCAATGGGCCTTATTCACCCGTGAATGTATTTTAGAACAGCAGCCACAACGTCTAATCTATGAATCAGAGGAGTTAATTATTGAATAGATAAATAAACAGAGAAGGCTGCTTTGTAACAGAGGCTGAGGGTACCCAAAAATCTCTCTACCACACCAACAGTTTCTATACCGCCACCTAATGCCTTCACCCTCTCCAAGACATTTAGGAAGTTCATGTTGGGATCTGTCTCATCAGTCATCGTGGAGCATTAAAAATATAGAAATGAAGACATTCCCTTTCTTAAAGTATCTTTACATTAGAATTTCCACTTCTACATCTAATGTCATCCAAGTTTTAACCATCCACAGCTCCCCAGCATCTCCTTTGAGCATGTCAGTTTTACAACACTTGAGAAAGCTCTATCTACAGTTCAGCTTTGGTAAGAAGGTGTGTAGTCTGGCCTCCTGGTTTGAATAATTTTTGGTTTTGGTTTCTTGACTGCATCGTCTTCCTCTTCTTCTTCCTCATCACTATCACAAACATGGACAACAACACTGGGAGTAGAGTCAGTTGCTGCATGAAGTTCGTATTTTTCTCCTAGAATGTGTTTAAAAAATAGTAAAGCTGGTTAAGATGTGTTTTGTCTATCTCTCTCAGAAAATGCATGTGGTACAACTGGAGCCTGTATTCAAGAGCTTCTTGAGCCCACAACAGCACAGATGTGTGCAAAAGGCTTCTGTTGAAGAAAGGGCTTCCCCATTTATTGGGATCAGCTCTGAATTCATACCCCCCACCATCACACATCCAGAGCTGCTCCTGGCACTGAAGAAACGTCATCACTGTGATTTTCCTACTTGATTATTTTTCTCCTGTGTTACTGGGCCAACATGCAAACAGATCATGCTGGAGCAGCACCTGTGTGACAAAAGTAACACCTGAAGTGGGCCTTCAATACAGCATGTTAAGGCTAACATTAACCACCCGAGTTTCAGCATAATCATGGGTCAACTTTCTTCCCCTTCTACATACTGTTTGTTGAAGAGAATGCCTAGAGTCATGTCTGAAATAGACATTGTTCACCAACATACAGTACAATTACAGGCAAAACTGGAATATTTTTTCATTCTGCACAAGGGCATGTCTGAAATAGACACTGTTCACCAACATGCAGTACAATTACAGGCAAAACTAACTGGAATATTTTTTCATTCTGCACAAGCTCCCATCTCCTTTTCAGGAAGACCAACTTCACACTCCAAGAATCATGGCTGTAGAGAAACCAAAATGTTTCTTGGGAGAGAACTGATTACTACTGCATACCACAAATGTATAACCCAGAAGGAGTGGCAGAAATCTCTTGATATTAAGAGGTTTGAAAAATGACAAAAGCTTTCAGAAAACTGCTTAAATCTAGTATACAGACCCTCCCCCCCAATACACAGTCTCTAAAAGCCAAAACACAGGACCATGCAGCTATCCCTTGCAATGACTCTTACATCCAAAAATCAGCACCAGCTTCCTATTGTTCTGGAGAGCCAGGGGACACTTTCTTTTCCTTTCAAAATTTGTTTCTTCAGCATGTGATAGTTATAAGCAGATATAATTCAGAGTCAGCATTTGAATTATCAGCAAACTTAGAAGCTTTAGCTGGCCTGGGTTCCCTGGCCTGGATCTGCCTCCTGAACACTTTGCAATGTTACTTCTCACATCCTTCAAATTCCTCCCCAAAGCCCAACTGATCTTATAAAGACAGTACTAAGAATTGTTATCCAATATGATTGCTTGCTATACTGCGGTTCTAATGAACTGACTGCTAAAAATACAAGGAAGAGACATTTCAAGGAAAATAGCATGGGAAATAACAAAGGCAAGGGAGTTGTGTGTAAATAAGAAATTAAAAGTTAACTGGTAGTAAAAATCAATGGCAAAAAATGAACTTGACTACTGCACTTTGGCCACAGAAGCCCCTTACCTGGTCCTAGTTTGGAGATTGCATATAAAAGATCATAATTAATAACTGGTGTGGCATCTTCTGCTTGTTTCCAACCAACAGGGGGAGAAGCTGGAGGAGAAATCAAGAACTGTTTTTCTGGATCTGGTGGTGCTAAGTGTGGGTTTCCAATGTGCAAAGTCTGGAAAGACAAAAACAAGCCATGTATCATTATTTTGACAAATTTAGCACAGCTATGGAACAGGAAGAATGTAATGGCACTCAGGGAACAGTGAGTGGCATGACTTGAGAGGAAACTGTGGGCTGACAAGTTGGCAAAATACTCATGAAACAGGGAGTTACTCATCCCAGCAGGGCCTTCTGCAGGTACTATCCTGAAAGCGGGCAAAATCGATAACTGCCCATATTTGCATATTTTCTGCTGTGGCCCCCACCTATGGGATGGCCCCCTTTATGGAATGGCTTTCCATAAACTATGCGGAACAATATTATTCAAGAGGGCTTTTTGTACAGGTAAATAGAACGGGACCGTGGCCTACAGTACTGCATTGCTATCAATCACTGAAAGTATGCTCCAGACTAGGTAGCTTCTGCATCACTTAATTTATCATGTTTAAAAGCTCATGCTTTCTTTCAGCTATTTGAGTTTTTGGCTTGTTTTCAGATTTCTGTAGTCCAAACTCTACTATTTTGAATGCACCATTTTGTTGATAGTACTTGATTTACATTATCTAACCTGCCCTGAGTTTCAGTGAGAAAGGCAGACGATAAATAACATTATTAATAACAACCACCACTACCTCCCCCACCACGGAAACCTACCTGAAGATTTCTTCTCTTCAATGGGGTGAAGTCATCCAAAATGGCTAGGTCATGCCTCCACTCGCTCCAGGCAGGGTGGGTTGTGGATGACTTCACCTCACTGAAGAGAAGAAACCTTCAGGTAGGTTCCAACACAGTGAGTCAGTTAGTCTGAGGTTTGCCATTCTGTTCAGGTAGGTGCACAGAGTTCTACGCACGTCCAGTTTATGCCACTGGTTGGTTGGTAAGCTGGTTAAATTAAGTTGGTTGATAATTAAGTTGGTTGATAAGCTGGTTAAATGTGGGCTGGATGGTGCAACTGTTGGATGGTTTCATGGTTGGTTGAAAAATCGTACCCAACAAGTGCTCATAAATGGCTCTGCGTCTATGTGGAGGGAAGTCTTGAGTGGAGTGCCACAGGGCTTGGTCCTGGGCCCGGTGGTGTTCAATGTTTTTATAAATGACCTGGAGAAAGACATAGAGGGGATGCTTATCAAATCTGCAGATGACACAAAGCTGGGTGGGATTGCTAATTCTGAAGAAGACAGAGTTAGGATTCAAAATGATCTAGATAGGCTGGAACAGTGGGCTGAGACAAATAAAATGAATTTCAATAGAGGTAAGTGCAAAGTCCTACACTTAGGTACAAAAAAATCAAAGGCACAGATATAGAATGGGAGGGACCTGGCTTGACAGCAGCACATATGAAAAGGATATAGGTGTTCTGGTTGATCACAACCTAAACATGAGCCTGCAGTGCGATGTGGCTGCGAAGAAAGCTAATGCAATCTTAGGATGCATTAACAGAAGCATTGTGTCCAGATTACGGGAGGTAGTAATTCCACTCTATTCTGCTATGGTCAGGCTTCAACTGGAGTACTGTGTCCAGTTTTGGGCACCACATTTTAGGGGGCTCAGGGTGGCTTACGTGGGAAACGCCAATATAAAAGGGCTGTCATGTGGAAGATGGAGCAGATCTATTCTCTCTTCCTCTGGATTGGCAGACTAGAAATTACAAGGGAGTCGATATCGGCTAAATATCAGGAGAAACTTTCTAACTGTAAGAGTTGTTGAGACTGCCTCGGGAGGTGGTGGATGCTCCTTCGCTGGATGTTTTCAAGTGGAGGCTGGACGACCATCTTTCGGGTATGTTGTAGGGCTGTCTTTCGGCTATGCTCCTGCAGAGTGCAGGGGGTTGGACTAGATGACTTGCAAGGTCCCTTCCAACTCTAACATTCTATGATATGGAACTCAAAATTCACCTTTCGAACGAAGAAGGGATCTGTCCTCAAGGTCACTGAATCTTTATGGAACACACAGAATTCCTTTGTGGATTGTTAAGCAGCTAGTTCTGATACTCTTCTTGACGATGTTATTGCTACCAAAAAGGCAACTTTCCATGAAAGGTACTTAAGCTGCATAGATTTTAAAGGCTTGAAGGGGACTTTAGTGATGGCTTGATGTACTATGAAGAGGTTCCAAGTCAGGAATCTGTATCTCACAGGTGGACCTAGTTGTGTCGCTCCTGTTAGAAATTGTTTGATGTATTTATTTGCAGATAAATTCTTCAGTCTCCTTGGTCCTAAAACTGTGCAGCAGCTTGTCTCTGTATGTTTGGTTGTAAACCTTTCTTCTAACCTTAATGGAAAAAAGGAGGATGTCTTTGTATGAAGGCTCCAGAGGATCTAACTGTCTATTGTCTACCCGTTTCTTAAACATTACCCATGTGTAGTTATAGATTCTTCTAGTGGCAGGTCTTCTGAACTGTAACATGATGCCCACTATGTCTGCAGGGAAACCTTGTGCCTCTAGGTCTGACCGTTCAATTTCCACACTGTCAGATGAAGCCGTGTTGAATCTGGGTAGGCAACTGGACCTTGTGTCAGGAGATCTTATATTTCCAGTAGCTTCCACAGAGTTGCAGTCAACATCTGTATCAGGCCCAAGAACCAAAGCTGTCTGGGTCAGCATGGCGCCATGAGAATTACCTCTGACTGTTCCCTTCTTGCCCTGTTCAGTAGTCTGCTGATGAGTGAGAGGGGAGGCAAGGTATACAGGAGACCTCTGGGCCATGGGTACATCAGTGTATCCTTGCCTTCTGCTTTTGGTTCGTGGAATCTTGAGAGGCTAGAGATGCTAGGAGGTCCGTGACTGGGTTCCTGAACTTGTAAGTGATTTGCTGGAAGATCTCTCGATCCAAGGCCCATTCTCCCAGGCCTAGGTCTTTGCTGCTTAGCCAATCTGCTTCCAGGTTGGTCAAGCCCTTGAGGTGTTCTACTCTTAAGCTGGCAATGTTCTTCTCTGCCCAGATTAGGAGGAGTCTGGCTTCACTGAACAGCGACTTTGATCTGGTGCCCCCCTGACAGTTGACATGCGTTTTTCTCAGCATGTTGTCTGTGTAAACTAACACATATTGGTTTGCTAAGGACCAATGAAAGACTAAGAGGGACGGTCTCACTGCTCAAAACTCTAGCTAGGTTATGCTCTGTGTTCTTTCCGAACAACTTCACTTTCCTTGTGCCACTAGACCCTGGTAATGGGCTCTCCAGCCTCTCTTGGTGATATCTGTTGTCAGAACAGAGGCTTAGTGCCTTGGAATGTGGAGGTTCCCCTCAGTCACATTTGCTAGCAGCCACTGATTGACTTATCCTCCATAAATCTATCTAATCCCCTTTGAAAACATCTTCTGGCCTGCTTGCCGCCATTCGTGGGCCTCCACTAAGAGGGCAATTGGCATGGCAGAGACTACCACCTGCTGGGCTGGCCGGTGTTTTTCCAGCCGCGTCTGACTCTGTCCTTACTGACATCAGGGGGTAAGGTGCAGCCCAAAGCTTCAGATTTCTCCCCCCACCCCACCCCATGGCTGAATGTGTGATGTCTGGGAGACAGTCCACAGCTCCCACCCTGCTGCCCAAGAGGGCCTCTCCCTCTGATCCTTCTTCTTTTTGATCCCTGAAACTATTGTCTTCTTAGCCTCCGAAGGCATAGAAGTGCTCTCTTCCTCCATCTGATCCCGTTGAGCCAAACTTAATCCAAGGTGTTGGGGATTTATTGGTAGTTTGGTCACGGAGCAGAGCTCAAAGCATCCTGTCAGAGCATCAGGGCTACCCCAAACTGAAGGGTCAGCCTTCAATCTCTCCAACAGGGGTCCTCACAAAAATCAACATAGCCCTGCCTGGAGCAAGTGAAGGCGTGACCTAACCATTTTGGATGACTTCCCCCACTGAAGGAGAAAGACCAAGAATCAAGTGATGCCAAAATTTAGTGTGCAGTAATTCTAGAAATAGGTAGTGAACATTTAGGCCATCTCTCTTAAGCTCCCACTGAAGATTTAAACATTGAGTATGCTGTCAAACAACTATATTTTGGGTGAGGATTCACTTTAGTATATATTCAAATGTGTATAAATAGTTTCAAAAAAACATTTTGGATATTACATCCATGTCCCCTCCCCCCTTTAAAATGTTTGCAAGATTTCTCCATGGACTCAAAGCATCTTGATACAGTGTCATGAAAGGTACAAGAACTCTGACAAAAGCAGAAAGTGCCACCACTGGGGGTGGGGGTGGGGAATGAGAGCAACAGTTTAATCTCTGCTGGCTAACAAACGATCTAAAATTGAAACTTATTTTGATTTTTTAGCCTTTCCTCACATAAGTTTTGTTTGGTTAATAGAAGGGGTGGCAAAATAAAATGATAGCCCTCGTTAACTTAAATAGGATGTGAAATGGTTTACTGCTTGTCTTGCTTCAAGTCATCTGACATTACTCACTTTTCTGACAGAAACTTTCTACAGACTTTTCCAGACAGTAGCCTGCTATTATGATACATCAATATAATTTACAGAATCAGAAAGACACAGTAAGACCATAATGGAAACTAAAATAACTAATGTAAAATAGCCAGTATAGAATCTAAAAAGATTTTGAGTTTGGGTTGATCTTGTACTTGGAAGGAGGTGGTGGTAGAAGAGCAGTGAATACTTCCTCAGATTTGAAACAACTGAAAACTAAAACAAGGACCTTTTAATAGAAGGTAATTTTGTACTTGTGAACAGGTAACAGATTATATCTATGACAGGCACACAATTTCCCCCCTTTCCAAATTGTAAGTAAGAGGATTCCTATTCTAGCTTGTATTTTAAACAAGGAAGCCATGATTTCTACATGGTACCTATGAAGCACACTGGTATCTTTGAGTTCAAACATCTTCAAGAGCTAGCTCAAGGATACCTATAAGGCTGCCTCTGTAAAAAAAAAAGGACAGGCATCTTATGGTGCAGTAAATCCTGCTTCGGGGATGGAGAAGATACTTAATCAAGCCCACTCCCACTCTCATGCATTTTCAAAATCTGTCCAGAAGCTTCCATGGCTATGCTGTCCAATAACCTCAAAGAGAAAATAAGGATCTTTCTTATTGAGCTGTACACTACCATTCCACTTAGCTAAGCATAGAACCTTCTTCTAGTGCAATGATCTATTCTCTGATGGATGCAGCTGTTCCTGTGCTTAGCTGAATGGAGTCGTAGGATACAATTCTTTGGAAAAGCAGAGACAAGACATGAAATATCATTCCTTCTCAGAAGTGGCTTTTAAGAAGAAACCAGACATCCAATTTCTTTGGAAAAGCAGAGACAAGAAGTGGCTTTTAAGAAGAAACCAGACACAGTTTGTGATCTCCCAATTCAGCCATACAAATAACCACATAGCAGACAAGTGAACTACAGAATTGAAGATTCTGCAGCAGCTTGGAGTTTTTATACAGAAAACTCAAATAAAGCTATTAAGACTTGCTATTGTATCTTGAGCAAATCAGTAGAATTCAGGCTAACCTACCTCATAGAGCTATTATGTGACTACACCATAACTGTAAGTAAACTGGAAAACAAAGGTGGAAAAAAATGTAACCAATGCATGCGACAATGAAGCCATTTCACCAAAAGAGCCTTTGTATCTTACCTGAGCAAAATACAGTTTCAGTTCCCTGCCAAGAAACTCCGTCTTGTGTAACCGAATTTTAGCATCTGCTGCTGACAAAGGGTTGTTGAAGTTTATCCTTATTCTTTTAAAACTCTTAAAATACTGAAAGGTGACATCCTTGTCATATGTTCTAAACAGTGCTTCAAACCTGGCCTGAAAAACAATATTAAAAAGTAAATAACCTTCATATCCAAAGTCACATTTTACTGTTGATATCAGTCTTAAAAATCCTTATTAGTGATTTCAGTGGCCTGCAGTTGTAACAACTAAAGACCTGACCAATATTTTTCTTTCTTCTAGGAAATAAGAGGCTATCAAAAAGTTACCATAAGGGATTATCCTTTGGAAGCAAAGAGATACAGGATCTTCTCTCCCTACCCCCCAAACAAACTTCTGCTGCACATTACCCAGCACTGAAATTGAAATGACATCTGCCTATTTAAAAGTCATCCTCCTTCCACCCCAGCCAGCTTCCATGCTGCTGAACGCATGTCATGAGCATTTATTGACAAGGGCCAAGGGCATCAATGAATACTGGAAATTATTCCTGCCCAGCCCTTCCCTGTTCTTGCATTTTTTAAAAAAGGAACTGAATTTATTTAACAAAATAAATCAGAAAAATACAGTGTAGTGGAGGGATTGGGGAGGGGGAAATAGTAGGAGAAGGTTGCTTCCATCCAGCAATGGGCAGCACATCTCATTTACCAAGGCCAGGTAGGCTCTAATTACTACAAAAAAACATTTACACAATTGTGGCAGGATTGGGCGACTAACATAAAAGCAACAATAAATTACCTTTTAACTATGGCTCCTAAAAACTTATTTTTACAAGCCTGTTAATTCTGAGAAATCCAAATCTACCACTTGAGGCGGCTGGTCAGAGCAGGGTGCACAATTCTACATTATGGTGAAGAAAGCAAGCACTCCGTAATGTAATTAATTCTCCTATAATTCTTCTATGATATGCACAGGCAGTAAGATTTATTCCCAAATTATAACAATATGACAAAAGAAGACCTGCTAAGAGGCAATCCTCCTTCTCCAAAACTGTAATCCTAAGAACAATCTCCTGAGAGTCCCATTGAATAAAATGGGACTTACCCCCAAACACATCCGCTTAGAATTGCTCCATAAGATTTATTTCGCAGGGCTGCAAAATTAGCTACAACCTCTGTTGAAATAATGTTATTTCCAAAATAGCTGCAACCAAAAGGTTTAACAGACAAAACCTATTGACATTAAAAGTAACAACCCAGAATAATAACAACTGGACAACCAGTATGGTATAATGGTTAGAATGTGATAGTAGGAAGAAAGGTAGGTATAACTGGAGTAAATAAACACAAGCAGTGGACCTACAAAGACTTGTGTATGTGGGTGTGGGGGGGGGGGCAGCTTATTTTCCCTGTTTCCTCTTTCCTGAAAGGCCCCAGAGTCTCTCCCCTTGTCCTGCTTACTTTTCTCCTTCCCACTCACTAGCCAACCTACCTTTATCTCCCCCATTTTCACCTCTTCCTCCTTCCCTCCACTGGCAGAGTTGCATGGTGTCAGTCACCAGCCTGAGAGCAGTTGTGAAGTGCCAGCCAAGCCAGGTCCAGCTGCACAGTGGGGAACCTGCAAGGACTTGCAGAGTCACCTCACTTTCCCGTTTCCCCCTCCCTACACTACTTCTTATCTCTTCCTGGTAGCACTCATATCCTCAGCTTTCCCTGCTTCCTTCTGTTCCCCCTCCCTACACTACTTATCTCCTCCTGGTAGCACTCACATCCTCAGCTTTCCTTGCTTCCTTCTGTCCTCCCTTTTAGCTATGTTTATTATTTGTTTACCTCATTTATACTGTCCTCCCCTTTAGCTACGTTTATTATTTGTTTACCTCATTTATACTCCACCTTTCTACACAATGGGGACCCACTGAGCTTCCATAATATGAGCTGGGATTTGAACCTGGGTCTCCCAGATCTCGGAGCTGCGGTGCCTGAAGTGGTTAAAACACTGAACTGCAGGCTGGGGAAGGTCAGTAGTTCAGCAGTTCGAGACCAGGGTGTGCCGCATGATGGAGTGAGCTCCTGTCTCTAGTTCCAGCGCCTGCCAACCTAGCAGTTCGAAAGCAAGAACTTGCAAGTAGATAAATAGGGACCACTTCGGTGGGAAGGTAACAGCGTTCCGTCCTCCTTGGTGTTTAGTCATGCCGGCCACATGACCACGGAAACGTCTTCGGACAGTGCTGGCTCTTCGGCTTGGAAACGGAGATGAGCACCGCAACCCTAGAGTCGGATTCGACTGGCTTTCGAGCAAGGGAACCTTTACCTTTTACTCCCAGATCTCAGTCCAAAAGTCTAACCTGTACACAACACAGGCCTTCGTGGAATGGCTGCTGAGGATCAGTAGTAAGCAGCCAGTTCTGGGTAATCATGCAAGTTGCATGGGAGTGGGACCTGGTGGTTACTGATGGGCCTGGCCCCAATGAGTCATTCCTCAAAGGTCAAAACAGGCCTGGAAAAGGCTCTGCCCCCTCCCTCTGCCTTTGCTGACAAAAACTAAGGTTTGCAGGCTGACAATTGCTATGACTACCTAGCAACAGCTACTGAGGACATTAATTTCATAAAGCTACAGGCACAGCTTCTATTAGTTGGGGAGGTTTTTTATTTTTAGATTATTATTTTTTTAGATGTTAAGACTTTTCTGCAAACCTGGTCCTTTTCTGTGTTTTCCATTTGTGGCACCAGTCTCCAGATTTAAGTATCCACAGATGGGCCATGCTGAGAATTAGATACACTGAAATTAAAGAAGCACAATGGGGCATACTGATGAAAGCAATGCATGTTCAGATTTACCAATAAAGGTATAATCTTCTTCTCCTGAAAGGGATTTGCATCTTTAAAATCTGTATGACATACAGCAGTTCAGAAGGTGCAGCCATCACCACCATTCAATGCTGGAAAAATCTGCACCAGATGAATTTGTATTTGTCACATAGCTGCTTTAGGCATTAAACTGCTCTCAGGGAAACAGTTAGTGACCAGTTTAGCATTAATTAAACTTTGACTCAGTACCAAACTGGAATGTTTGCATTTCTGAAAAGGGATGGGCTAATAGCTTCTGGCCCACATTGCATGCTTTTATTGGTCTGTGGGGCAACCAATTACTTCAGGCATGATAATTCTGCCAACAGCTGGCAACCCCAAACTAAGGCACTGGATGTTTACTGTATGCGCTACTGGAACATGCAGGTGACTATCCAACCCCCACATTATTTTTACAATTATTTACATAGGCAGCTGACATTTTAAATTAATGTGCGGGGTAGGGGGAACAGAATTTTGGAGGCAGACAACACTTTTAAATCCAACTATTTTGAACCCAGCATACTGCTGCTTTTCAAAACATGATAGATCAGTATACATTGAGTTAACCACTAAATGCAGTTTCATGTCACTACTGCAGTAAAAAACCTTCCCAAGGATCACAAGCTTATCTTGTTTTTAACCTCTAAATGATGTAGCTTTCATGTAACATGTTTGGGAAATAGCAAGTTAAGCATGGAGGACAGAAAATATTTTCAAACACAAATATGTAATTGCTTGTAAATTAAGTATTTAAGACCAAAATTGTCAACCAAAGTCTGCACTTGCTTTATGAGAAAGAGGCAAGGTTAGATTTCTGTAACTTTGGTAATTATAGTTCAAAAGCTATCAAAAAAGGGCAAGAACAGAACTTATATCAAATTTTTAAAAATAAAGAGGGGAGACATGTGGCACTTTAAGTGAGCAGATGTATTGTGGCACAACTTTGAACAGGGGTAGGCTCTGGTCCACAAAAGCTTAAGCCACAATAAATCTGTTCCTGTTTAAGGCACCACAAGACTCCTTTATTATTACAAAGTAATGCTGATCTCAGAAAATCTTATTAATATTTTAAGTATTTCCCACATCGTAAATGGAAAGCATTATATTTTATATAACCAGCCCTTTCTCTCTAACCCACTCCCAACAGTTTGGGAAGAAAAAATTGCTTTGTATTTGCAAGAGAAATATACCCTAGCAGCCTTTCATTGTACCTGTGGAAGTCCAAGAAGTCACTTCACTCACTGAAAAACTTACTCTAAATTTTAACCCAGTTGTTTACTCAATGGGATGGACTTCATATTCTGCATTCCAACACTGCCACATATTATGGATACATACCTAATTTAAGTGTTTACCGTTCTACATTTAAAATTGAATTAAAATAATGTATAAAGATCTAATAATCCTATAGCATTCTAAGAATTCATGAAGTACACAAAACCTCCACAAAAGCACATCAGGCTTGGCACTATGGAATTAATTTGACATTGCAGCATCTATAAGGCTTGTAGTCCTAATGTGATTTAGTCATTTTGATACATCTATATTCCTCAGTATCCCCACCACCACACACACAAACACACACAACAAAATACACCTTACCCTGGTTTCAGGTTGACTGAAGACACTGCTGTCCACAGCACAGGCAATTAAGGAGCCAAAAATGTAATCAAAGTTCCTAAAATGCATCTTGAATTCTTTAAAAAGAATGCCGA